TGTCTAAAGTTTTGATCTCTATACACAAAAAGTTTGTAACGTACAGACAAACCAGACGTCAAGATATTATTATAACGAACGCTACTTAGCGGATTTCTTAGGGGTTGAAGTTTTTGAGGGATTGTCAAGGGGCGAGATGTAGGCATAACCGGGATATATCATTATATCATATAGACTAATACGGGGACAAGGGATAATATAATGTGGAGATGGCTTAACTAATAAGAAAAAAATAAGATTTTAGCTTCGATAATTATTGTACAGTTTAAATACAGTTTATATTTTGCAGTTTTGTACGTTTCAATTCAGGTGGTTTCATATCATATGCTACATCTGTGTCCAAATTTAATTCAAATCTGTTCAGACATTCATGATTAAGTAATAAAAATATCTATACATTCAAACGTCTTCCTAACTTTATTTATTATACCTATATAATACCCTATTCCGCGGCATTATCCGTGTACATCAATACATAAAGTATTATATGTTAGAATTAAGTTACAATATAACTTAGCCAAAAATAAAGTGGATGTAAAGTGTATATGGATAATAGAGTGCATTTTGTGGCGTTCAAAGTGATGTCTGTATTCACTATACTTGACTTTAGACAATTTGTAATTGTATACAAATTGTATAAAAATGTATAGGCAACACGTTTATAATCTATCTACACATTCGGTACAAAGTCAGTGTTATATTCATCACTACGGCAACTCTTAACAAAAACCTCTTACTGACCCATCAGGAATTATATTCGTGAGCATATTTTTTTTATCTTAAAAAGCCATCTCCATAATATAAGACCCTCATATAAGCCGACACACGTCACATCATCCCATACATATTTTACACGATCCAGTAAATACAATAAAAGGAGCTCCCCTCCCTCCCCCTTCTCACCCTTGTGGCGGCGGCGATGTCTTTCTGCATCCACATACTCGTATCACTGCTCCATATTCAGCATCTACTCACAAAATTGTAGCTATATCCATTTTGAAATGTTTCCTCCAAAAGTAGTTATATACTTATATTATTTTTTAAAGTAAGTAAAGTAAAAGATTGGTATACATAGCATCATAAATGTGAATTTATAAAAAAAAATAATGTTTGTTATTTAACTATGCTTAATAAGCAAATGGAGTGCGAAATATCAAAATCATTTAGGTATTTATATTATTTGTACTCGTATTGTATTATAATATCATCATTTATATTATGTAATAATAATAATATCTGTAAACATTAAACTTATGACTATACCTACGTTTATGCAAATGAATTATTGATTGAAGACATTTTTTATCATTTAATCAGGTAAATTTAAAAAAAAACAACTTTGAATTACTTAATCATAATAAGAATACTTTATCTATGTAAATATTACATATTACAAGCAATGAGCTCACAGTTAGGTACATAAATTAAACATTTACTAGGTACTATAAATAATAGTTAATTAAATTTTACTGCATATAACCTAAACAACAATAATGAACTAGAAACCTAGTAGGTACTCTACACTAGGAATACCTTTAAATTTAATTAAAGGAATTCTTATAGTAATTCACGTTGTCAAAGCTAAGCTTGCATAATAAAAAAGATTAATAATAATGTATATCAACATTCCGATCATTGTTCGCACAAGTTCGATCTCAAACTTTAAAACATCTAGTTTTTAAGTTACCAAGTCGGTAGACTGTTTCAGCTAAAAACAGATAAGAATGGCAGCCGTCTACAGGATTCGCTCTATTCAATCAAAAATTGAATGTTACAATGCTTTTCATACATCCAGTAAAATTTACTGCATGTACAGGACCCTTCTATACCAATGGGTATAAAGTTGCTGCATCGGAGACTGAGACCTAAGGCTCATGTTTTTGAATCTAAATTATATTAAAACTTGCAAAGTTTTATTTTCAAACTTTAAACAACCGAAATTTAACTTCGAACCTACAAAAATATTTAAAAAAAAAAACATGATTACGTATATAAAATTAAACGACATCAAAAACTTGAAACTTTTTAACTGTGCGTGTGTGTGTGTGTGTGTGTGTGTGTGTGTGTGTGTGTGTGTGTGTGTGTGTGTGTGTGTGTGTGTGTGTGTGTGTGTGTGTGTGTGTGTGTGTGTGTGTGTGTGTGTGTGTGTGTGTGTTTATCTAAAAAGTAATTAATATCTTCATAATTTCTGAACCGTAATCGATGTTTTGACGACCTTTTCCTTCATCTCTTTTTTCATCCTTTTTTAAAATGTTTTTTTATGCAACTTAGAATAGCAAACAAGCCTACGCCCACCTGATAAAAAGTGGTAACCGTCGCCTATACACATGAGTAGTACCACAGACAAAACAGATTATACTGTTTCGCCCATAATACTCCCTCCCCCATGCGTTGGCAACGCATCCCTGAAGATTAAGGTGTTCTTCCTCAGTAGCTTGTAAATTCATTGCCATATCCCACCCTTCAAACCAAAACATATCCATGTAAATACAACTGCCACGAATGGGACAGCCGTACCTTAGCAAAAGCCTTTTGTACAAAATCTTCCTCTGGTAAAATTTTTCGAATATTATTTTTCTAATCGATTTTAAAATGGGAGTTTTTTATTTTGCTTGTATTTTTTTTATGTTTGTTACCCCATAAGTTTGTCAATTATAAACTGATTTAGAAAACTATTTTTTATCTGAAAAGATATACTTACAGATTGATCTCATGGAAATTTTATTAAAATGGGTATCGTGGTTTTTATCAAAATAACTGGTTTTTCCGCAATTGAAGTTTTTTTTAAATACAGTGTTAATTAATATAAGTGATTTTTAATTTATACAATTTACAACTTACCCAAATACGTGTATACCTACCTACATATACATATTTAGAATATAACAAATCTCAACTGTACCTACTACGACTTAATATTATTATTCGTAGCAACCGTAGCAAAAACCGTAGCTGGGATAAATTTTATTTACTAGACATGTTACTCGTATACACGGCCATAAATATTTGTAAGTAAAGCTGCCACCAAAATATATGCGGCTCCCATCAAACAATTTATTGTACAAATTAGTCTTTCCATACTAAATCAAGATGATCCGATTTCGCTACTCCATAATAAGCACTCCACAATACAGTAGGTAGCGTTCGCGGATCATTGACTTGTTTTATCTTTTGTCTGAAAACCCTTTGGAAAATATACTTTATGCGTATAATAATAAAGTTCGAGGCGCAACTGTTTGTTTTGTTATAAAATCAGTGTTTAGTGCCTCTTGTTCATTGTACTCCGCCACCCGCGGTGTTTGTTTGTCGATGCCCCATTTTTTTATACACGTACGCTTTGTTGCAGTTTTTTCATAAATAGCAAACTACCTAAATACCGAATATAATGAGTGTAAAAATTGGATAATCCATTGTAGTCGGTAGCCGTCATATTTGTCTAAATTATTTCTCATCTGTGTGAATAGGAACATAACGTTGTATAAAATAGTGATTTACAATGGTCGGACGTCGCTTTTGATGGGTCGGATTAGTTTTCATTACTTTTATTTGTGATCCACATCGATTGTCGATAAGTCGATTTTAATGTTGTTATAGTGGTGCCTAATTGCCTACTTGCCTAATTCATAACATTACATACAGCAATGTAATGTCCATTGTAGGTTGTAATATCTACAAAAGAAAAATAGTTAACCATTTTTATACGTTTCAACAATCAAATAATAAGTGGTTATCAAGATGTTATAAACAATATTGATCTGTGGCCTCCTCCATTAGAACAAAAAACATTTAATGAATGATAATGGAATAGTTAACCTGTATTATCGGTATAAGCTGCCGAAGCACCAGTGAGTGGTGATAGGTGAAAATGAAACCAGGTCAGTTACTCATTGTGACGGATTGAACAGCAATTAATCACGATAGTTTCCAGAGGAAACCACATAGAGGTCGTCCTGACAGGATACCTTACTAGTAATACGAGTATAATAGTAGTAATAATTAATCAAATTTTTTGTTACTCATGGACGCCCACCAAAATGTCCTAATAGAACACGGGTGGATACGATAGTGGATGTAGGGGATTGTTAGTAATGGAAATTATCACCCCCATTACTACCAATAGGTACACCTCATTAGGTTTCCCTCGGTGTGGTGCGCCCTGAAAATTATTGTGCTTAATTTCTAGTGAATTCGCCGCGATGGGCCAACTGACCTGACTTTATCTTCATCTATTATCACTCACTGATACTCCACCAGCTATAATGATATTACAAGCAGCGTCTATTATATTTTTATTATCGCCCATTAAAAAAATGGACAAAATAAAACTAGATAGTTAGAAATTATAGAGCACAATATTTTGAATGTTCAAAACGGTGCTTAATGATATTACTTAAACATAGTGAAATACGCATTACAGCTTACAAAAAGGGGTAAATATTAAGAAAAATTCGTGTGACTGGGACAAATTTAAATAATATTTAATTAGAAGACTAGTAACACCATCTATTAAAAGACACAGACTAATACTAATTTACAAGTAGCGCCATCTAAAACTTGCGGTTAATGACTATACAAAATCAAACGTACTTCAATGTTAACAGCAGATGGCATTGTTTCTAATACATTTGAATACAATTGTACTTTATTCCATTATCGTACATAAAAGAAAAAACTGGTGCATCGTCAGTGATACACTATTTCATTTTCACCTATTAAACAATAAAACCATAGGCTACGACTGACTGAGAGCGAGAAACCCGATGCATATAATTATCTCGTCTCTCATTTAAACAATTTCATTAAAAAATCTTAATACCTATAGAAGTCAGCGACGGGATCTTAGGCTATATTGTATATTTTTTTATCTTAATCAAGGCAGGCTAAACTGCGGGACATAACTATTACTTATTCAATATAAAATTTCAAGAAATCATGAGAATATGTGTAAGCAAATCTTACAAAATCTGTATTGGTAAATAGCAGCAATAAAAATCAAAATGTGTATATTAATATTTTTATTTATTATTCTTATAACAAACAACAAAAAAGTATAAAAGTAAGATTTTTTAAGTATTAGTCATGAAAGTTCAATATCATTGGGTTGTGAATATTGAAAGCACGTCATTACGAAAGTTCAAAAATTTTTTTAAAATATTCTTCAATAATTTATTAACAACAAGGCGTCTCTTTGCCCGCCAGATGGTGTGAGCGGGCGAGGTTGGGGCCTCGAGGCGTACCCCACTACCCCGGCTTCAACAACCTCCGGGTCACTGGGTTTGAAGCCGACATACACTGATGGTCTGTGTATGTCGGCGTGGTGTCTTTAATTTATTAAATATATTTTATTAATGAATTTAGTGGCGAGTTTACTTTTTTTTTATACTACGTGTATATTACGTTTTCTCTGATATTAAGCCTCCATGATTTTTTTTATACCACTGAGGTGGCAAACAAGCATACGGCCCACCTGATGGTAAATGGTTACCGCAGCCTATGAACACCTGCAATACCAGAGGTATTACGCGTGCGTTGCCGACCGTATACGTAGATAGATACATTTTTCGTTCATCATTATAAAGATAGCCTGTATATCTTTATACTGATGAACTTGAAGATATATTGAAATCATTAGCATTTTTTAAAGTAAGTGTTCTACCAACAAAATTGAACATATTCATACTAACACAATGTTAGTTTGGGTTTCCTTTGTCGTTTTTGTATTTCTGAATCATAAAATGGTGTTCTAATGTATTAACATGGGGGCTTTCCTAGTCTTAACCGATTTAAAAAAAAGATGGGGTTATATGTTTCATTGTATATTTTGTTTACTGCTAACGATTTTGATTTCACCCTGTATACCTAAAATTAATGTTAATTTACGTTCATATGATTACGGTATACTAGTACTTTTCATTCCCAGACTATCATACGAGGCGACTAAGTCATCATAAAGTGTCGTCATAAGTTTTTGCACTGATGTGTCGTAAAGATGCGTTAGTGCAAAAACAAGAAAATCAATCTAGCGATCAGTCAATCTATAGCTAGTATTTAAAAGTGGGAAATTAATGAAATAATTGTCATGAAAAAAAAAATTAACAGGAAACTGCGACGCTAGGATTCTTATTAGAGAGACCCTTTTAACTGTTGATACACAGTCATTTAAAGATCCACTTTGGGTTCTTTATATTTTCTATCAGAAATCTTCATCTTCATGCTTTTCGGCTTCCAATTGTCTTCAACTACCCTCGTATGGATAAGTCGCTTATAGACGTGCGCTGAGAGACGAGCTGTTCTAGTCTTCTCTTCGGAATCAAAATCCACCTCGTACAATCCGAAACGCTCACTAAACAAAACAAAAAATGACAACTGTATAACTGTAAGTACTATCCTTAATGTATGTTGTACAAAATCATCACTTATGTGTATATAGATGTTAGATATGTGTATTCCGTTTATGATATTTCATTTTAACTATTACTGTGACTCATATTTTTACCTTAAAATAGCTTTGTTAGCATGACTGTACTTCGGTTTGCGAGGCGTAACCTCTCAGTTTTCAGGAATTGCAATGCATCACAGTGTAGGCCACCACTTCCTTTCCCGTGGATGTCGTAAAAAACGACTAAGGAGACATAATGCTCGACGGATGGACTTGCTTGCATAACTGCACTTGATAACCCACTTGCCAAGCGTGGCAACTACTGGCAAAACTAGGAGGGGGGAAGGGTGCCTATATTCAGCAGTGGACAGTTAACGACCAATAGGATGATGACGTTCATGTCTATAGCCAACCGTTATCATTCCCCCTCTGGTGGGTTGCAGTTTAACATTGTACATAAAAAAATAAACAATTTTAATGATTAATATTTGTGACCAAATTGTGTATAATGGAATTAATTTATAAATTTTTTAATGGTTTATTTTACTATTAAATATAATATTTGTTATTATTAATTATCCAATAAAACATTTTGATAATACATTAAATAAAAAAATTTTAGAAACAAATTGTTGCAAATTCAAGTACTTGTGTTCAATTTCGACAAACTAATAATAATAATTAATTTTCCACTGCAACCATTATCATATCAACCGTTAACCATCCACTGCTGACCATAGAGCTCTACCATAGATTGCAATAGGAAACGGTCCCACACCATAACCATATTACAATATAATTGGCAACAATAACATGAAACTATACTAATAGTGCACTAAAAGTAAAAACTAAGTATTTAATCGCCACACTAACCTGGTACCGGCCACCCATTCCACATTATCAATGAGGCTCCAGGCAGTGTATCCCTTCAGGTTAGTGCCATCTTCCAACGCCAGCAGTATAGCCTTCATGTACTCGCGAAGGTTGTTAGCGCGATCGTCGTCTTGCAAGCCCGGCCCCGTTGACCAGCCGTGCTCAGTGATGATAATTGGTGGATAGTCATACTTCAAGTTGATGTGGATACACACTTTATAGATGCCGTAGGGAGCACTCTGTACAAAGTTTACAATTACTCGTACTTTTGGAAATAATAAATGTAAGTCAGATCAAGTGATGTTGCAATGGTGGGGCAAGAGGAAGGGGAACGATCCTGGTCATCATTTCCCTAGGGCAACCTTTCCCAGGAAAACATCAGTAGCTTAGTGTGTGTAGTTTAGTGCTTTTGTAGTCAAAAACTTGTCATTAAGTACATGTTCATTTTCAAATTATAATTATAATTAAACGCTTATTAATCTAAATTATTATGTGACATGTGATATTAAATTAAAGAAGTTAGCAGTCTCAATGTCTACTCACCGCCAACCAAGGTGATTTAGCCATTTTCCATTCAGACCTCTTGCTCAGCTGCACCCCAACATCGTCATTAAACGATGGGGATGGGTGCTGAGTCTTGGATCGACTCACCAGGGAAGTTGTGTAGTGGTTTATGCCCAAAAAGTCTGATGAACCTGCATTATAAAACATAGAGATGTTTTTACCATTACATATATTATCTGTGCTGTCTATGAATAAGGCTAAAGACTAAAGTCTATCTATTGTTTACTCAGTCAAAAATATCATATAATTATCACTAACTTTAAAAGAAAATCTAATAAATAAAAGAAAAATAAAAAACAAATAAATTAATAAAATAAATGGTCTATTCAGTCAAAAATTATATTTTTGACTAATCAAATAATACCAGAGGGAGACTTTGTACAAAAGTCGTTAGCTTGGGTACCTCTGTCCCACTCGTGTTTCATCCGTAAAGCAGTTGTGTTTGCATGGCTATGTTTTGGTTTGAAAGGTGGGATAGGACGTGAATTTACAGGGTACAAAGGAATAACATCTGAGTCCTCAGTAATGGCAACGCATGAGGGGTATCATGGGAGAAACAGTATACTCTGTTATGTCCATGGTACTGCACATGTCTATAGGCGACGGTTACTACTTTCCATCAGGTGGACTGTCAGATTGTTTGCCATTCTAAGTTGTATAAAAAAAAAATCTATCACCAACTTTCAAAGAAAGCCTCTCTCTGACAATATAACCTAAACATATAGCATCTGAGAAACAAAAGAAAAATAATAAAAAAAATTAATTTACAAAATAATTTTTTCAATAAGTGAAATCAATAATCAACGAAATTATAACTTAAGAGCTTAGACGAAATAAAATACAATCATTATTGGAATATGATTCTAGTATTTTAATAATATTATAAAATTCTAATTACTTGACTTAAACATCATTACTATTTACCTTTCAATAATTTTATTTCTTCCGTATTAAGTGTTGGCAACCTAGACCTAGTAAAACCTTGTTCCTTGCTCTTTTTGGCTATAATGTCCTTCACAATTCGAGGAAAGTCGCCCTCTTTTGACCATATCGGATTAATAAACGTACCTAACTGTAAGTAAAAATAAAATAATATTTTTTAATGTTACAAGTCAGAAAAAGTAGGCCAATTGCGAGTCGGACTCGTGCACCGAAGGTTCCATAGAGATTATAAAGAAAAATTGCAAAAAAATGTTTTTGTGATTTATCTAGATTTTTTGTTTTCGGATTTTTTTCTTTACTTGTGCTGTATGACATTACTTCTTGTCAAATTTCATGTTTCATCAACGAGCAATTGGTGGAACAGCCATATCTTTTGATTACACTAATAAAGTTTGATTTTAACAAGTTTCAAGGGATGGTAGACTATCGTATTTGATAATAATTTCATTTTGATACGAATGGACAGATAGAAGGACAACAAAGTTCATTAGGGTTCCATTTTTTTCTTTTGTGGTAGGGAACCTAAAATGTAACAAATTTAATAAAGTTATAACTAAACAACATCACAGAATATACTATGAGGCTCATAATTCACAATCTTTATACTGAACAACAGCTCAATTATTAATATGTAACAGATAAGCTACCAAAACTGTAAGCTAATTATTGTTCTCATGAAATGTGAGTCAAGATATAAAAATAATTTTCATAGGTGATTTGAATAAAAGATTCAAAGATTTCTTTAATTAAAAAAATAGTACAGAATATTACAATTATTCACAAAAATAGTATTATTATTCACCCATCGCGGCCATTGTCTGAAAACGACCCTGTTTAAAATATATTTAGGGACATTGAGATAACTTGGGATTTTTATATTATTTTTTATTTTGTAATATGATCTTTTTCTTTTGTAGAAATGTAGTATACAATACAATTTATACATACCATAAATTCTCTATACTGTTCAGTAATTTCAACATTTTCAGTCTTGTTGTTTAAAGGTTCTAACCAGTTCACTGCTAGTGCTATCCCCACAGATCCTGAAACATAAAAATAAAATAAAGTGAACCTCACAACAAAGATGTGATTTCTTAATATTTTATTTAGTAATTAATAAGTAGATACTAGAAACACATACATTTAGCATATTTCAATATAAAAAACTAGACCTATCAAGTATATTTGACTACTTTCTGTAAAAAAGCATTTGTATATATATATATATATATATATATATATATATATATATATATATATATATATATATATATATAAATATAGTGCCATCATCATATCAGCCATTATTTATCCCTAAGACTGTCATATATATATCTGACTCCCTGCAATGCATTTGAGATTGCCACTATGTCTAATGGGGGGTCTTTCTACACTGCCTTTGCTTGTATAGGGTCACCATTAAAAAACCTTTCTTCCCAATCAGTTGTCAGTTCTTCAAACTATGTGACCAGCCCATTGTCACTTCAGCTTACTTATCCCTGTTTTGGACAATATATGTAAATAGGCTATTTGTGAATATAGTCATTTTAGACCACATCAATCTTGATCAATATATATATATAAAAAAACTACTGCATGTTCTCAAAACATACCTTTATATTTATTTTTGTACTCCTTTTCATACAATCTATAAACTTTTGCATGTGCTATCATAACATTCTTTATGCATATATATGCTCCAATGCCTTTAGAGTCCACAGCAGGTGGCCATTTGCCATTTTCATAACCATCAATACATATGTCATTTGGTTGGTTAATAGTGATCCAATATTTGACTTTATTCGCATATTTGTTGAATACAACATGGGCATATTGTTCGAACCACTCTATAGACAAAGGGTTAGCCCAACCCCCCAAATCTTGTAAAGTTTGGGGTAAATCAAAATGGAATAATGTAATCATTGGCTGAATATTATATTTAAGTAGCTCATTAATTAAATTATCATAGTACTGAACACCTTTTTCATTGATTATGTTAGAAAAACCTGCAATAGAATAATGTTGATTAAAATCTAGTGGATATGGGACTTTATGGAATAGACAGTGAAAACAGATCATCAATTTCATCAGTCTTCCCACATAGATCTCTGTTTGTAAACTGATAATGTCTGTGAACATTCCTCATATACCAAATTCTATGACTAATTAACTCCCACCAGATTTGATGTATAACACAGAACTGTTTGGAAATCATTGTGATTAATTCCCAACAAATTTGTCATGATGTGCCAACTAACTCAAACATTATTAACATCACCTACTATCAGCATATTAAGAATTACCATTCCATTTTCTACCCACAAAAATCATGCATAATGGGGGAGGTTGATTGCATTTTACAATTGGGAAAACCATTAACTGTATTTCACATTTGATGATTGAAGTTATGACTTATCAATTAATATACAGATTATTTTCTTTAATGATTTTACAACAATAATTATTAAAAACACATACAATACCTGTAGGAAGTACCCTGTTCCAAGATATGGAGAACCGGTAGAAGTCAACACCCAGCTCCCTCAGCAACTCTACATCCCTTTTGTATTGGTGATACGAATCACTGGCCACATCACCATTCCTACCATCTGTAATCACCTCAGGATGTTGATGGAAATATTTGTCCCAAACATTCTCAGTTTTGCCTGTAAAGAGTAATATTTTTTTTAAATGTGCTATTGCTTGAAAATTATTTGACCAATTACCTTTATTTTTTTTTTCAATGATAAGTTTTTTAGAAAGACAATTTTTATATACAGTACATAAAAATACATACTGAGATAACAGTTAACAGTAGTTTTATCTACCCCATAAATGACATGGCATTTATTTATTTACTCTTTATTGCACTGTAAACTAAAAGAATACAAACATTCAGTTTTATTCCTCAGGATAACCTTAACCTTATATAATTTATGAAAATGCTAGTTGGAAATATAAGAAAAACCAATTTGAAACTATAAAAAACATACCATCAAGATTCCAAGCTCCTTCCACTTGATAAGCTGATGTGGCTGCACCGAACAGAAAATCATCCTTAAATTTCCGTTGTCTATTATCAGACCATCCATATGTTCCTACCAAACTAAAAAAAATACTTATTTAAGATCATACCACTGTCAAATATTTTTAATAGATATGTTGCATAAACTTCAATAATATACGAAATAATATATTAGGTATTTAAATAAAAGATTAAGAATAGGATTTAAAAAATAATCTTAAATACCTTTAAATAAGTAAAGAAATATTGTATTAAGTTTATTCTACACAGAATTAACAAGTATATTGGAAACAATATGTTAATTTAATTAATAACTGAAAATTTTAACCTTAAACATAGACAAAACAGCAAATACATGATTTTGCACAAAAAAAAAAAACTCGGTATATTCGCCGGTAGCAAAAACACACACACACCGAGAGAGAATAATTATAATTATTTACACGTGGACAGACTGTATTTGCATAACCATTACGATCGCAGAACAATAATTACGATAACAATTCCCTACTTACTTTATTCGTAGCAAAATTCAAGATAGTTATTTAATTATTCATTTATCTTATCAATAGGTATGAATAGTAAGTAGATTTATAAAATAATTAAACTGCTGTGTTATTTAAGAGACTGCACTGCTCTTATATTGACTAAACTAATGAAATAAATTTATGCTACCATACAGAAATTTAAACCTACAATAAAAGAAATGAATGTTCATAATATTATACTACAATTTATAATAAACAGTTATAGACTCTTCTATTCAATATCTAAATTTCTGTCTAATTTATTGCAATACAATTATTTTTGGTTTAAACTTGTGAAAATACATATGTTTTGATTATTATTACAATTTCTCTTTATTTTATTTAAGCTGGAGAGCATTTCGAGTAGATGTAACAAAAGTTCCTCTGCCATTATACAAATCTGTAACTTAATGTAACAACTATAGATCACAAAAACTAGTGACCGTAATATCATCAGATCGTCCAACATTGATTGTCATAAAATAACAATATTTCTAGTGTGACATATTATTATTACTGGCTATCATAATATACCTATTATATTTTTTTTACTAATTTTCTGTCTTATTTTGTCATATAATTCTGTCGTAGTGTTTATGTTTTTCTACCGATGAAGATGAGATAAAAGAAAACTACAATACTAACCATTTTAATTATTTACTTGTTTCTTTAGTAATTATAAAAAAAACTTACTTAATATTATTTATATAATATATTTTTAAAATTCAAAGGACTGGTTGCATAGACTTATACATATAAAGATTTTAATTTTGAAATGACATCGGCGTGGGTAACTAATCTATTTGACTTGCCTCACGTCACTTGAAACGTCAATCTAACACTGACAGTGATGGAATGATGATGTTTACGGAACGAGTGGAAAGTAGTAATGCCAGATTGAATATTTGTTTACAATTTTGGGTAAAAATCTTTCAGTTAGTTTCAATTTTCTATGGGCAGTGGTAATCATCAGGAGGTAATAATCTTCAAGTGAGCTGCATGTTCGTTTATCCCATATGTTAATCCAAAAAATTCCGAGAAAAAGTAATTCTTGAAGACGTTTTTGGAGAAAAGTAAAACTGGCTTGAAGAAACTTGGATAATGTTTTGAGCTTTTGGGGAGTTTATTTTGTAAACTTATTATTTGTACATAGCGAAAAATGATACTAATTTGTGATCGTGTAAAAGTTTTGGAAATAGTATCGATTTAGAGAAAAAATATTTGATGTTTGGATAAAATCAAATTTAACATCTGGCAATAGGCAACCCTGCACAGAAACACAACACAGAGCACGGCAACAAAAAGAGAATTCAGTAATCAGAAATCCGCTTCGGATTTTAAGGATTTTTGAATAATTGTGCTTGTGCATAATAATTGTATAATAGTTATGAGTTTTGTGGTTATTTAGATCTTAGAAATGAGGCAAATGTTGTAAGAGATTAGTTAATGTTATTTATGTATTATTAACAAATAAATCGAAAATGCATAGACGCAGGGGGCCAAATTTTACGTATGTCAGTAGTTGTGTAAAGTATATGATTTTTGTCTTGAATTTTATATTTTGGGTGAGTATAATCTATATTTTGACTTTTTAGAATTTATTTTTCTATTGTGTAACATAAGTTGGTTACTGTAGAAATCTTTTATGAGCACCTGTTATTTATACCTATGTTTTTACTATGAATCATTGTGTACCTATGAACGTTGTGTGGGAATTAAAATACAAAAGAATATTTTCACAATCCCACCGTTTCCGTTCGCGATAACAGTTTTATAAAGTTATAACCACAGATTTAATTCAACTCAACGGTTAACAATATATTATTTTATATATCTATAGATACTATGCAGATGAAACAATGAGTAAAAATGAATTTCAATATTAGCTCCCTTTAGTCTGAATAATTAAGTACTAGTAAGCCAATAATATTATTTAGTAGCTGTAATGAGTTACAGCTAAATGCAGTATTAGATTTTTTATATGAGTATTAGAATTGGAAAAAATATCTTAGTGTTAATCACTCTTAGTATGTTGGAGGATTAAATATCTATACTATCTTTCATATTTGCATTGTCAAAATATTATTTTTTACACTATAGTCCATTATCAACATCATCATTATGTTCTTGCCCATTTCCTAGATTCATTTCAGGTCATCATCTGTTTTTCTTCTCTATTCATTTCCATTTGCAGTCATCTCAGTATTAATTCTTATTCAGGCTATACCATTTCATATAATCTTTTTCCTATGAATGAAATGTTTGAAAATCTAATAAGTATAAACATTGCCGGTCCTAGCCTTAATCCTTGTTATAGTTAGGGTCATATGGCTATAGCTATGGTCTATAAATTGTAAATTACCAGTCCTATTTTATAAACACTTAATTGTAAATGGTTTTTGCAGTTATTTGGAGGATTACTGGTGGGTGTGGGTCTGTATGCATTCATTGACAAATGGCAGGCTACTGGACTCATCAAGGTAACTGGTTTCATGTGACTTCAACATAAATATAATTATAACCATCAAGTAGCTTCCAGTATATATTTGTATACTTAGTATTACTTAGCATTCCTGTGATGCATGTGACAGATATAATAATATGAGTAGTCACACTTATAAACTTAGTTATGGACTTACCCTCTTGTTAATAAAAACTAAAACATTTCACAAACCTACTTTAACTATTACACTGTTTTGTTACTTTCTTTTAAATTGGGAATTTAGCAGAAAAGAAAGAGACAAAACAGTTCAATTGCTAAAATAGTTTCATAAGAGGTTTAATGTGTTTATGAATAAGGGGATTAATGTCTAAACATTGTTCCAGAAATGGCTAAATATCATGATGAGAAATCATAATTCTATCTCCCACTATTATTAAAGTATGGGTTTCCCATAACAATTAAAACTGTTTTAGTTGCTTTTTTTGGTATAGGACTGTACTGCGTTCAGTAATAATTTATTTAATATGTTTGAGAAGTGGCTAGAAGTAGTAGCTGAATTCTTTGACTCTCAGTTTATATTTTGTAGCTTACTTTTTTTTTATACCACAACGGTGGCAAACAAGCATACAGCTACAGTCTGATGGTAAATGATCACTTGCCAACCCTGAAGAAACTACTTTCCAAGAATATTTACAAAATAAAAATATTATTCATAACACAATTTAGAGTAAAAATAGGACTTTACTAAAATTTTTGGTCATGTGTTTGTCAAGATTCTTTTTCTCCAAAATATTTATATTTATAAATAAATATATATTTATAGGTTTTAAGATGAAATTTGTATCAAATAATAAGTCTGTATTTTAAATTCTTGTCAATCAGTTTTATTAATTGGTGCTTGATCATAATTTTTAGGGTACTTTCAACTTTTTTTTTCAGAATAAATAATTTACGGAAAGAATAAATTTACTTTGTGCTTAGTTTGTGTGTTTTAATTGCACTATTCTAAGATTAGATTAGATTACAAGATCTTGTCTAATATCATTTTGTAAAAGAAAAAAAAAAAACATCAAATTGTAATTATTACTATATTTTTTAATTTTATTTAACTTACAATAAAATAATATGAAATCAGTATCAAATTGAAGAGTGGGATATAGCAGCGAAATTGTGTGGTATGGAAACATTAAAACTTAGTTGCAAAGTACATTACAAAATACACTATAAAATTATGAGCTTTATAGAATACTTTGTGATTTTTGTGATGCTGTTCCTCTTTATAAACAACAGTTACCAATTTCCAATAGATGGAATATCAGCTTGTTTGCTGTTGCATAAAAATACCCCTTAGATAAATCCATCCTGAGAGTTTATTTTTTGAAAGGGATGTTTTCCAATAAAAATAAAAAAAATGGGCAAGTGCACTATTCATTACAATTGCACTTGTCCCCTCGGTTTTTAATTTTTCGCTACAGTTTGTTGACACAGCGTTCAACACAGGAAACAACGTTATTATTCGAACAAAACCTTGTCACTTTCATTTATTACGCAACATAGATGGATAAGCGATTCTGTAGAGACCATTCGCAGTAAATTTTTATTACCTCTCTTCCTTTACCGTAAAAAGTCGTCGCTGCGTAAATGGTAATTTTTCTGTCATTTCGTATTGTGAAATGATGTTACAGTTTATGTATAAGATACCAGCATCAAATAGGTATAACAGTTGCAGTTGTATAAAAAAATATCTAGCTACTTACGTGATTCGCATCCTTCCTTACCTGTATTATGAATGTGCAATATTCTTTTATTTTTTATTCTTGTTATCTATGTCTACATAGACCACTAGTTGTGAAAAAATATTATGTTGTGAGTCTAAATTACCGCAGTGTTAAGGTCTTTTCTGTTTGACGTAATAGTGTCCGTTCGAACTTAACGAAATACTGATATCTGATTGGTAATTGGTAATAAGAAGTTATTAATTCTATTATAATGTTCTAAATGCACTACTGAACGGATTTTGATGAAATTTGGTACTTAGATAGCTTATATCCTATTTAAGCATATTGGATACTTTTAATACTGATTTACGCGAGCGAAACCACTGGTATAGATACCCTGCCAATAAATGTAAATAAAGATTGAAAGAAAAAATGGAAATACCATTACAATTTTGAAAACCAAGGTGTTATGTTTCTTGGGTGTTGCTCAAGCTACGAGTATTTACTTTTCAACCAACTTCAAAAAGAAGGAGGTGTTCTCAAATCGATTTATAATTCCGGCAGTTATAAACTGAATTGGAACATTTTTTTTTATCTGGAAGGATATACTTACAGATTTATCGTATATATATTAATTTTTATTTAATTTTTAAATCATTATTAAATTGTGTTCTACAAAAAAAAAAAAATTCAGTTGTGGCAAAGCCATTATTGATTTAATTTTGATTTAAACACAAAATTTACCAAATCAGTTTACAATTAACATGTAATAAACATGTAAAATACAACTGAATTGAGAAATTTATCCATTTTGAAGTTTATTTGAGCCGAAACAAACAGCACCACAGATTGCTGCTTTGTTTTAGAAATGCAGACTTTTTTCTCTCTTTTATTTAATTGTATCAATATATAAGGACTATGGTCATTAATTTGATTCATTTTTAGAAGGCAAGTTTTGTGTGATTTTCTTGTATAAGTTAGCATCCCGAGCCAGTGAGCTTAGTCATAAAGACTACAACCGCAGCGATAAAGAATGCCATATACGATATTGAATAATCCTCATTGTTGGGTGATAATTGTATTATAAATTTGAACTTTATTTATAAACTTTAAAGTTGTTTATTATTTGCATTAATTACTTAATACCACCCGAGTATAACACGTGATCACTACCCATTATTTGTACCACTTATGACTAATTGTATGCGGTCATTATATAAATATGTGTGATATTAATATTGGTGACCGAGTTCTTTTTTTACTGGGAATGGTGAACAAGCTATATGTTCCTGAGGGTGTGTGTAAACATTGTCATTATTGAGACAAATATTGTATGTATATTGTTCCCTTAAAGGTAGCAGTAAAGTGGTGTTGCCTTTAAAGACATATAGAGTCATATTAAACTATTAATAATAGACATAAGTTCTACTATAGAGGAACAAGTTTTTTTAGTCAAATGTCAATCTGAAAAGCTATAAAATTCTCCTGTTACCTTGACCGCTAATTGTCCATTGTTGAATAGATTAGGACTCCTCCATACTGCCACATCTATCACCTGTAACCTATTACCTTCTCTTATAAACATGGGTATTTTTACGTACATCATTATGTAAATCTATGTAATGTTGATGTCCACAGTTTGTATTGATCGTTGACAGCTGTCTGTTTCCGCATTCTAGATTGACCACTGTTTTTTTTAATGGATGATAATGTAATGGTTACCCCGCCTGCGCTATCGGTATACACTGGCGGGACACCAGTGAGGGAAGATAGATGAGCATGAAAGCAGGTCTGTTAGCCCTTTGTGACGAATGCAACAAGTATTAGTCACAATGGTTTCCAGGGGGAGCCGCGTGGAGGTCGACCTGACAAGGCTTGCTAGTAATGAGACCATTAGTCCCCATTACTAACAATCCCTTCAGATTGACCACTGTTAGCTCACTGTACTCAAGTCCTCTATGGTTCTACCACTCAGAAGTCAGAAAACTACAGAATTTATTGTATATTTTCAGCTGGACACAGTGTACGATGTAATGTTGAACATCAGTCTGCTGATAGCACTTCTCGGTGGTGTGGTGTTCATAGTCAGCTTCGCCGGGTGTGTCGGTGCATTAAGGGAGAATACGTGCTTGCTTAAATTTGTAAGTAGTTAAGTTATACTAAATCTTTATTATTAATTTATTCCAAAAGCTAAAATTGCAATATGGCAATCTACATACATATATGGATCGATATTGCTTTTTAGAGCTCATCAAATTTGTTTACGGTACGATCAGCATTAAAAGTCGATGAACACCTACAGATTTCTAAAATCCAATAAATAATGTTATGTACCAAAGTATTACAGGTTAAAAATTACAACAAATAATAATTATAGTTGTTAGCTATATTCACATATCTCTCGCTGGATAAATGTATTAAGTTGTATTGAAAGAGATTTATATTGTTATTGACTTTTGATAATTTCACCTTTTATTATAATAGTTGGCCCTCAATATGAGTATTATTTTGAGCAGTACTCGCTGTGTCTGCTGATCCTGTTCCTGGTGGAGATGGGCGGTGCAGTCTGCGGGTTCGTGTTCCCGCGATCTCTACATGGCCTTCTCGAGCTCAGCTTCACCGAGCGGGTGGTACACGCTTACAGAGACGACCCAGACCTGCAGAACTTTATCGACTTCGCACAGAGTGATGTGAGCGAAATTCTGTCTGTCTTTCTTCACATTAAATGTATTGTGCGGTGGGCAGGAATGAGTGGCAAAGGTCTTAATACTATTACACTTAATACCATACAATTAGGTGTATCTGTTTAATGTAATTTAGAATGGCTGGAAAGTGGTAACAATTCAACAGTGGTAAGTGAGTCCTCAGGAATGTCAATGCATGGGAGGTATCATAGGCGAAACAGTATACTCTGTTATGTCCATGGTATTGCTCATGTCTATAGGTAACGGTTATTGCTTTCTATCAGGTGGGCCGTAATAAAAAAAACAGCACCATGGACATTGCAGTGCATCTGTGATTAGTAAAGGTGATTTCAATTTGTGCCACTTAATAAAAGCCACTTAAAAAAAGCGTTGCCATTTCTAAGGATTCCTATTTGTTATTGATTACACACTTCAAATCGAAATACAATGCAACCAGACCTGCTTCATGCCTGAAACTATATATAGGATAGAAGTATTCAAGCAGATGACATTTGTACAAAATCCCCTTTTGGTAATAAATTTTTTGTCCACCAGTTCCACTGCTGCGGCCTTACGTCTGATGGTTACATGGATTGGTCTAAGAACGAGTACTTTAACTGCTCATCACCATCAGTGGAACGCTGCGGTGTACCGTTTTCGTGCTGTATCAACGCGACCGACATCTCGTCCGGCCTGGTCAACATAATGTGCGGTTACGGAGTGCAGAACTTTCCTGTAAGTTTTTTAAACAATAATAGTGACAAAGGACCATTTACCTGATTAAGAGCATTAAAACTTTAGCTTATCGAAGTGTGGCAAAGTTGCATTTTATTTTATGAAACATGGAAGTGAGGAATTCCGTAATGTAAAGTGTAAGCGTAAATATTTTTATCAAAACTAGCTTTGCCCGCGTGAATCAGTATATGTACATATAAAGTATTCTATGTCTTAATTTAGAATAAACCATCTACCTATGAATGAAATTTGGTACACTTGTGTACCTTTAGTAAGTACTAAGTACATATAATCTTAATAAGCTTCACATTTATAAATAGGTAACATACGATTTACGATTTAATTAGTAATACGTTTACGATATAATAATATTATATGTAGGTCGCCGAAGCAAGCAAGCGTGTGTGGACGAGCGGCTGCATAGAAATTGTCCGTTCATGGGCGGAAAGGAATCTCTACACCATAGCCTCTGTAGCGCTGGGCGTGGCGCTCTCACAACTGTTTGTCATATATCTCGCCAAGACGCTCGAAGGGCAGATAGAATTACAGAAAGCTAGGTGAGTATATAAATCATATTTTCTTTCTGAACTTTAGCTTCAAGAATTTAGAGAGAGATTGAAGCCGTTAAATTTTTCAGTTAAATAGTTAAATTTTTAAATAGTTCAATTAATTCAGTCGTTATTATATAAATTTCTCGACAAAAAATGGTGAGTCCTTCATACAAATAGTTGTAATGACAGCGTGTGTATATTTGGTTTTTTAAGTAACTTCTAAAAGAGGGAAGTTCTCAATTTGTGTGAAATGAAATAGTGACTCTGTCTGCGCTACCGGTATACAGTGGCGGGACACCAATGAGTGATGATAAGCAGGTCAGTTAGCCCATTGTGACGAATCCGAACAGTTATTAACCACGATTGGTATATTGCTAGCAATGGGGCAGTCAAAACCATTACTAACAATTCTTTTCTTTCGATTTAGAGGTGGCGAGTCATTCAATGAGGACTTGTCTCTTTATAATATTGGTATAGATATGACCTCGTTCCCAGGTGGCAAACATGAAACAGGGGCAGTGCGGGCGCGTACCGCGGGGAGTGTCGGCGGGCGCTCCTGTAGCAGCACGCCCCCGCCACGCTCGCCACGCCCGCCACGCCCGCCACGCTCGCCACAACCCCCGCCACGTTCGCCACAAACCCCGCCACCGCTCACCACATTTGATTGTGCCATCACAGCGGCCACACGCCAGTATAAGTTATTACTATGGTATATATCTGTGGAATTATGTAAAAATGTTTATATTGTAGATTAATTTCGATAGTATATCTATGTATTTAATGTGATTGGAAAAAATAGGATACTGTTAAGAGGCCCTCTGTAATAAAAAGGTAACGTCGTGATCTCATGTCATTGTATTAAGATGATAACTCAAAATTTATAATACGGTTTTGCTAAAATTTCGATCGATTTTTGATGACAATTTTATTCTGAATTGTCTTTTAGCAACACTGCAATTATTATTAAAGAGGGTTTAGATTAAAAAAAAAAAAAAACAGATAGATAGACTTTCATATACCTGACAGTTATTATAATATGGATTTTCGTCATAATTAATAAATATTAGTGTGTGTACACATTGATTTATTTTTCAATTTAGCGTGTAATTTACACACATTTATGTAATCATCATATAGTTTAGACATTAGAAACCTAAGTGAAAAGCATGTATAGATTGTTATTTGCCCATTTTATTTGTGATAAGTTGATTTAAGTATTGTATAATATACTGAGATTACGTTTACGTTTCAAAAAACCAAAACCAATTCCGGATTACGATTCAGTATTAAATAGTCACTTGTTTCATTTCAAAAATTCAATATCTTTTATTATATATATATATATATATATATATATATATATATATATATATATATATATATATATATATATATATATATATATATATATATATATATATATATACTAACCTTGAATTAAATAAATAGGTTATACAAATTTATAAAAGAGGGTGTAACGGAAAATTTAGAATAATACAAGATAGTTTTTTTTCTGCAAAATAAAGGAGCTTAGTTAAAATGTTCTAAACGACGGGCAGAAACTGATTACAAAATGTTAATATTATGGCAAATACGAACTTATAATAGTAAATTATTGCTTTATGTACCCAAATGTATCTACATGACTTCACTTTAAGTTCAAAAATAGTCTTAACGATGTTGGATTATGGTTGATTTTGGCTTCTTAATTATTTATCATGTTTTTACATTTTTCCAAACTCACTTTCATTATTGCAGGTAACGTATTTACGTAGAATCTCTTTAGTTGTATAGTTTAGTATAAAAAAATAATAGAACCAGTTTATTTAATTAATAATAGAAGTATTTAAAAAAAATGTAATATATTTCCTTTCAATGAATATAGGATGTATTCGTAACATTTGACGCCGTAAAGCAACATGTAGATATTTAGAAACCCCGCCACTACGTTGGTGGGGTACCAGTGAGGAATGGTAGGTGAGGATAAAGTCAGTTGGCCCATCGTGATGAACATACCAGGAATTAACCACAATTGTTTCAAAGGGGACCATGTCGGAGGCCGACTTGTCAGGGTGGGTATATTGTCTGCAATGCGGCCCACTAGTTTTTGTTACTGGCAACATTGTGCGCTATTGCAACTATGCGAAACATCTTGAGCGTTACGTATTGATTGCACTTCAATTGTTTTCAGAGGTATAAAAAGTAAATAATTCCAATATAAAATACGCATTTATAAAAAAATATAAACGAACCAAATAATTATTGGATTTATATTTTAGTAATATTACATAAACAATAAAGATTAATTGATTTTTAATCCTTAAATTGTAAATGAAAATTAATATAATAATATTAGTTATTCCATTCAATCGACGAGGCATGGCCTCATTATAGAAAAATTTAATACTTTTTTAGTCATTATTATTATTAGTAATTTTCTTAAAGAGTATTACTAAGTTTATATAGTAAAAACTAAACCTGTCTTGAAGTCTGTTATAATGATTCCTTATCCTTCATTCTATTAATTGGTCGTTCGGGCCATTATAAAACAAAGGTATATAAAAATAATAATTATAAAAAATAGTATGTTCTGTATTCAGTTTCCGATTTCAATTAACATTATCAGTAGGAGGGACTTGTATTCCTTTGCCCAACTGCGAAATATTAAAGGTATTACTTTAATATTATTTACTTAATTCAATTTTCTATTAATTGAACGATTGCTAAATAACATTATAAAACATTTATAGGTTTCTTTATTACTATATAATAAAATAATTTTTAAACGACGATTAAGTTGATTTGTGATTAAAAAAATGTATAGCAGTTGACGCTGCCCATTTAAATTAATTTACGTAATATTACGCTTTTCTATTTTATTTCACTAGTATTATTCTAAAATGGTATATATATTTTGTACAGTCTAATAATATGGTATTAATTATTTAGCTTATATTATTTTTAATAACAACTGGATAAAAACTCAATTTTAAAAATTGAGAATTTAGAACACTCTTTTGTGACATAAATAAAGTATTTTCTCGAGATTTCATTATTGAAAATGATCATCTTATTCAAATGATAAGATACCGAAATAATGGTCAAGTATTAAAAGGCAAATTACTGATGCTTTTTATATACATTATTTTTCTTGTTTAGACATCGGTATTATTTGAAGACTGACTTACTTCTAAGCAGCTGAAAACAATTTATTTCTAAAGCCTATATGTGGCCAGTCATATTTTTAGACTGTTTATTTATATCATGTAATTTAATCTCATTAAAAAAATTTATTTAAATTCCCTTGCCAGATCCTTCGCGGTAACTATATTTAAACTTTAAAGAATTAAAATTGGAAATAAATTTGGAGGAATAACACATTAGATGATAATAAAAGATATAGCAATTTAAAATAATTCAAAACTAGTATATAAATTGTACTGATTTAGAAGCAAAGTGAGGTGCCTCTTGAAGGTTTGTATGACTTTGTCTTTTTAATAATTACTGTCATTGTACCTTGAAATCCTGCTGACTTTTAATTCCACATTAAACAGTCACTTTACAGAGTAGACATAGAGAAATTAGTACTAACGCCGTTATTTTCAGTGTAAGAAATATTCAACATTTACCAAAATTGTTACACTAATTCTCTTTATGAAAATTACTATGTAACCGTGGTAAAACCATGGCTCGTAAAAAATTGGAACATTAAACTTTTACATATTTGTCATGGATAAAGATTATTAGTTCAAATCTATTGCTAATTATAAGTTTCCGTGCTCTCATATTTCACTATGTAATTCTTTTAATTCGCTTCATCACGAATATTATTCGTTTTTGCCAATTTCAGTAATAGTATTTCAATTAACGTTACTAATATGTGGATTGGCCATAATGTACCTTCGCGATTACGCTTGCTTGTTGTACACAACACAAAGAGGAGGTGAGAGGCGGGGTAGGGGAGAGGAGTCTCGAACGTCAAAATCGACCCGTCACAGTATATGTATCGTCCATTCTTCCAAAAATCCGTGCAACTGCGCCCCAGTAATTCACTTCTTAAAATAATGCTTTAAAATATCATGTTGAGATCGAGTTTATATATATTTTTTATTCTTTTAATTTGACCCAGCCAAAGCTAAGGAAATATTATGCACTGATTTGTATCACATCAATAGAAATATTAGAATTAATCTCGACTTATGTCGATTGATATATAATATAAATACGTAAATTTTAGTACTATGTATTACAGTAAATATATTCTTTGTAATATACATAGTCCACAGTATACTTCTTTGTAAATATACTACTCAGTTTTATATAATCAGTAAATTTGCTTTTACGTGCAATATATAAAATAGTAATTCAATCAATAAGCTATTAAGTATTTTAAGAGATGATTATATTAATACTTATTCTATACACTTTTCGTCATATTTAGGGTCTGTTTCACAATCAGTAAGGTGTCATTAAATTGGTAGTTTATGTTTAACACACACTGTAAAATTTATCATATTAAACATTATTTGTGTTTTACAAAATTAATTTTTATATTTATTTATTTTGTCTTATAAAAGAATAAAGAATATGTGAAAGGAATAAGTTGTTTATTCATCAAGTAATTTTAATTCAACCTTTACATTGTGATACAGACTCTTATTAAAAAAGTTATTATGACTGTGCTTTGGAGCTGTCAGATATCTATTATGTCATGTTGGTAACATTGAATTCAGCCGCCCGAAAGATTTGACTCACCTTTCCACCAAAATCTGATTTATCTATCATACATAAAAATCGGAAAATAACTTAAGCATGATATTATAATCACGTGATTGATAATCTATGTATGTATTTGACACGCAAGAGTACGCAAGTAATATACTGCGCAAATTTGTCTATGGTTTATTTGTTACCCTTAAACTGTACATCTTTACATTCATATTGACATTTTACCAATACTGTCAACATACTAATATTTTTACATCGACAGATGCACAGTTACAATAGCTTAGTATATTGTGCATAATTTTAATATTTTAAAGCGTAATTAATTAGTCAATTAGACAAAGTAATTTTTCAGTAATTATCGAATATTTAATATAACCAAATATAATTTTAACTTTTTATATGTAAAAATAAGTTAGATTATGGATACAGATATAAATACACAAAAATTGTGCCAATTCGAATTACATGGGTTTTTAATTTTTGTCATAAGAAAATTGTTTTGGTTACTGGCAATTTTTATCATGTTAAAAAACTAAAAGTATAAATTATACCATGTGCCCTGTTTCTTACGTGGAAAATTGATTTCTCTTTTTTATTCCATGCACGTCATAATGCCCCATGTTAATACGATTTTGTGTGAAAATATATTTGTTATTTAAAAACTCATTAATAATATCTATGTAGAGTTTAAATGGACTGCAAATGTATGTCTTGATATTAGTGTTAGTATGTATAAAAGCCATTCTAATTGTAATTTGCTATTAAATGTATACTGTGCTATTATTGATAATAATATTTCGAAATATAAATGTATTCTATCTTTTAATTTAGTTATATTAAAGGCAAGTGAAGAAGAACCGGTTATGGTATTGTTAAATTATTGCAGGGCAGATGCTTTTGTTCATAATGTAAATGTATTGTATAAAATGCATTATAAATCTATTTGTTATAATATATCAATTTTGTATGCGACATTTTGAGGGACAGAAGTAAGGGTGAGAGATAGGGCGTGTAATTTATGGACCTGCGCAAGCAAACATTTTGCTAGTAGCTTATGTCGCCCATACGTCTCTCTCCTCACGGATTTAGAAAGTGCTACATACGAAGTTAATTAATTATAGTCCTGTATTTATTATCATTCACGATTGCATCACCCGTATACAATGATAAAAAATAAATAATATTTTTATATAAAAGTTTATATAGTCATATGTAAACTTTTGTATGCCAATGCATTTACTTTTGTCCATCATGTTTATAATGTTTTAACAATATATATAACTATATTGATTCAGACTAAATTTAACAACCAGAGATTGGGGAAATCGAGATAATTAATCCTCGAAGTAAATAATATAGACGAGATCAGAATTGATTTAATCTTTTTATACATTGCTCAATCTAATCTAAAATTAGTATACATTTTCCTACAGACGTCCCTTAGTGTAACCAATTTTGGACTACAATTGCAATTGTATTCCAAAATAATTAGTCTATGATGTACTAATATAATGTATGACAGTATTAATGTGCTTATTATGGAAATAAACCATTGGTTTATTTGATTCTAGAAACAACACAGGGGCCATTGGCCTTAGCAAAAATTTTTTTATACAAGTTATTGGAGTTGACGCTGAGGCGTTATTTCTCTAAACCTATCTCTAAAAAAAAATCAATTTGATATAAAATCTTTGCTTTAAGGATCAATATGAACTAAATTTCTAATAGATTTATGTCAAAATTATTATAAATTTAGTTTATGGTGGTCAATAATATAACAGTTCCGCAAAATTATCGAATTATAAGATTTGGTTCCGAGAAACGGCGTTACAGAATCGGTCCCATTGATTAGAGTCTAATAATAAAAAAGTAGTAATAAAAACTAGTTTGGAATAAAATGCAACAGGTCTATTGGCTGTACTAATTGTAGTAAGATCGGTTTTATAAATAGTGTGTATTCAGTTTAGTAATTATAATTGATTACTAATTGTATTAAGTACAGAATGTATTATATAAAAACATTAGAATCAGTAGTACTTTATCGACCTTTCCTTTTAAGCGTTTTGGTATGTAAATATCCGTTTAATAATGCAAATTTAACAACTATCGAAATTAATAACAAATGTCCGCGCTAATGAAGTGGATGTGTAATATTGTAATTTTTTTTTAAATTCGTACTTGATGTCAGTGTTATAGATTTTAAGGAGTGTTGCTATAAAAGCTGTAAAGTGTCAATAATGGTAGATATCTCTTCATCTACCACGAGCTTGCGAAGTCAAATTTTATATTGACTGGCTATATGTGATTTATACAGCGCCTCTGGCGGTTACGCTTGGAACTAAATTATATTTAAAAGAACTTGTGAGTGCTATCGACATTGGCGTACTTTAGATTATTTTTCAGACCCCTACATTCCTGGCTTGGCCTTTTACAAAAGCGTCATTGCATATGCATTTTCCTAAATATATTTTATTAATCGATTACAAATATTTAATTTCGCCACCATTAGTAAGCATGCAACTGGCAACACACGAAGAGCAACTACTATTATTACCATTAGAAGTTCTACAACCTTCCATATTAGCCAATCTCCGATCTATATTCAGTTCACGCACGTTTTGCACCACCTGTTTCACCTCTAAATGAGGCATTTTTAGGCAAATTAATACAACTGACTACTGGTCGGAGATTAATAGCTAATATGGAAAGTTGTAGAACTTCTTGTAAAATAATAGTCGCCAGTCACACGTATAATGGTAGTGGAATTAAACTAAATAAGTCTAATCAACTAATAAGTGGTATGGATTCCTAGCTCAGTAAAATACTCGTACATAGTTAAAAGTTCTGCTCTCATCCTGAGGCGGGCACGGACCATTCTCCCCCCCCCACCCCCCACCCCCGTCACCCCACGCCCCTTAAATACGCCGATGGTTATTGATATGTTAAAATGGAAGGGACATTTTATTCCATATATATATATATATATAATTTCTATCATTATAGGTGCTGTGAAATACTCTATGAATATGGCGCCCGGGGCACATATATACGTACGTTACTACTGCCCCATATTAAAAACTGGAGTTGCAATTATTATTAGCGATTAGTGTCTACTACTTGACATCGACAGCATATGTCGTAAAAATGTTTTTTAGTACAATCATTGGCATTTATAAGTATCATCTTCCTATTTTATATTCGTACATAAGGGATCCTAAGGCGCCATTCCTTAAACTTTTTTAAAATTAACTTTTTAATTTGGTAGTTTAGCGAGACTAGTCCTTAGAACAATAATTTCACTGTATTGTGAAATTTAAATTGTAGTTTTTTTTTAGATAGAGAAGCGGTTTAGAATCGTCTTTAGTATCTTATTAATTATACGTACGCTTATTCATACCAAATTTAATTAAAATAGGAAGATGATGCTTTAATAGAAAAGGACATCGGTTTGATGTAAAACACACGAGGTTAATAAATTTTAAGTAGGTACCAGTCATGAATACTGCCCTTAAACATACGAATCTATTGATAGATACGACAGATTAGACAGAACGGAACGGCATCATGGTCCGTCGTCTTGTTCTTGCTCACGTGTGCGGTAACGAAAATGTGTCTACCGATGGATATGTTTGTCTTTGGTGTTAGTTGTATCGCGATGAGTTAGTCTATTTCAAATATGTGGTTCTAGTCGATAACTTTTAATACCTACAACTGTTTTGCTATAAATGGTATTATAAATCATTCATATTCCGTTTAATGCTTTATTTTGTCCAGACTAGATCAGTTTTTATTGAAATAGACTGAACAATTCAAATGTAGTGATAAAAGTTGAATTGTAAATTGATAATATTGTAACTATTTATATTGCACAAGTACTGTACTGACGCAAAGATGATATTCTTGTACAGTTTTGTAAGGCTGTACATGAGGAGCTTTGGCGCTCATACATTCCGGTGATTGGTAATAGTGGCTTTGAATGTACAGTCAAACAAAGTTTTATTGATATGAAATAAAAATGAAATTATAATCGGTAACAAGATGTTTTATTACGACGAATACTTTACCATGCAAAATTAGATATTTGTACTATCTATGGCCTAACGCATACCTATACCCGAATTAACATATGGCAATTCAGGACTCGTTACTCTGTTTAGACATATCTTTTAAACGTCTAGTTACAAAATACTAATAATACTGTTTACTCTGTGGTACTCTGACATCTAGAAGTTTGCCAGTTCAAATTTGGTCGATATAAAGGTACAAACTATCCAGTGATGTAAAACACCGTTAACAAATTAATTTGAAATATTGCAGTAGGCTCGCTCCGTTATGTTGACTTCTTTGTTCGGGGAAATGTAAGCATATCTATCAAGTGTTACGTTTAACATAATGATAATAATCGATACGATATCCATAAGGTATATAAGATGCAATGTGGTCCCGGCATAGAGTGGGATATTTCTTCCTTTTCTGTGGGTATTGTAAGAGGCGACTAAGGGAACTTAACGTGTTTAAAGAGGAACGTAGCGTTCCTCTTTAAACATCACCAAAAGCTTAACTGCGGTCCCTAACCCGCCAATAGTCGTTGCCACGCTTTATTAAGCGTGGCAACGACTAATAAAGCGTGGCAACGACTGACAAACCCCTAATAGTTTATATTCAGCAGTGGACAAATAATGGCTGATAAGGGATAACAGTCGAGAACATAATACTTAGTATAACATACGTATTAAGAGATACGGGTGCATATTTTTATTATTTTAATTACAGGAAATTAATAAAATCAACAGTTAATAAATTTATCTCCTCGAGTAATTATTTTTTGCCCTTCCCTTTTCCTTTGCCCTTAGGCTCGGGTTCAGGTTCTATGATCGGTTCAGGCGGTGGCGGAGGCCAGTACTTGTCGAAGAAGGCATCATCAGCTGCGAAGTTGAGGGGCAGAATGTGATTACGGCGATGCCAATCTTCGCGGTCCTTTTTTTCTTGTTCTTCCAACTCCCTTTCCTCTTTGGCTTTAAGCTGTTAAAAACATAAGAATATTGACAATGGATAGGATAAGTAGATAGGATGTTGAATAGAAACTAAATGTTGCACTAAACAAGTAGCGGAATCCGATAACATATTCCCAATAATATGCTGGAAAGGAGGGATGGGGGGGGGGGGAGGAATGACTTTTAGTATCTTCATAATGTGGGTGTATTCTATCATATTAATTATATACATCTAGATGATAGTTACTTTCAGGAAGGTAAAATTTTTCATACTACAAGTTACGACAAGCTTACTTAATTTTTTCGAGGTTTTTCCAATAGACTACAGCATGGAGTTCTTAAAAAAAAGGGGTAAAGAGATTTCTTTAGAGTCGGCAACACGCATGTACATAATGTCCCTGCTGTTGCAGGCGTTCATAGACTACTGTAGTTACAGTAGCCTATGAATAAATGCCTATGAAGCAGTTGCTTATTATCAAGTGGGTCGTATGCTTGTTTGCTTGAATGGCATAAAAAAACTTAAATTAATGATTTTTCATAGGATAAAACAAAATATTTTATAAAGGAAAGCTACGAAAAGCTCCGGACTAAAAATACCTCCATCAAAGCCAAATATTCTTCTGTATCGATTTCCCTCTTTTTTCCTTTAGTTTGCTTACTATCCTTTTTTGGTGATTTCTCCTTTTTAGGTTTGAATTTCAAGGGCACGTAAAGCCCTTTAGAATTTTGTATTTGGAACGGTGCATCTATCAACATGTACTCGGGAGTAAACGTGAAGATGGAACGCACCAAGTTATATTGATAGTCGGTGCTGAATCTAAAAACGTTTGAAAATATTCCGCTATTAGGTATGGCAATTAAAACAGCTTATTTACTTGACTGTTAAGAAATGGATAGCTGATAAAACGTAGGTATAAAAGTACACCAGCACAGAGCTTGTAGGTATCTACAAGTACACTCCACTTTACAATTTTAATAGAGTTTTGTATTTTGTGTTGCAAACAAAATTGCATTTAAATTTTGTAAGCATCCATTCTAGGTCGGAGACGATTAGTGTTACACAGTCATAGTAATTACGCTATGCTCTTCAAACTCTATTATTCTTGGGTGACAGGTAATTGATGACGTAGTAGATATCTATAAGTACGTATTTGGCATATACATATTTGTATTTTTTTTAAATATAAGACATGGACGACTATAAACCTAAAGTAAACACGCCCTCGCTATTAAGCAGCAGTTTTTAAACCGAGATCATAGAGTAAATCTTTTTAAAAATATAAATATTAGGCAAGCTATTTTATGTTTTTAGAATCAGTACCTATGGTAAACTTACAAATCAAAAATATAATGAATGATCTTTGTAAGGTCTCTCAAAGAACATTCATAAGCTGCACCCTTAAACGTGACAAGGTGTTGCTTTAATTCCGTCGGAATATTGGGACCCAGCTCTTGTGCACCAGGTAAATTTTCTCGAGCTTGGTAATAGACACCCGCTTCAGTTGGAGTAGGTAGCCGCTCTTCTTCTGCTATAAATCTTGCCGCAGAAACCATGTTATCCTGAAATTTTTATTTTTTATTAGTAGTTAAGATGTAAATTATAGATTAACTTAATTACTAACCAAATGGCTGATATGGCAAGGTTTTCATGTTTAGTATTGTCTATAATGTAAATAGATGAGTAGTAAAAAAATCGTCATTAGTATTTAAAGTGCTTATAGCAAATCAGGTAAGTAAACCTTTAGAATATATAAGTAAAACATTGAGTTTTAAAAACTAGTCAACTTTTTCCCAGCTAATTGTCATATTAGCTGTCTCGTTTTTTATGAGTGTTTTATATACCTACTTACGCACACCATCTTGCTGAACCATTTGAACCTTATTAGCTATATGAAATGTAGCTTCGAATTTATAGAATAAAACATAGTGGTAATACATTGAATTCTTACTCCGTTTCCATACAAAAAATCCTTCTTAATTTGGTCTTTTATTACCTTACTTATTCAAATGCATTTAACGAGAAATATTCTGATTTCTTGATTTTGCTGAGAAGTATTTATGAAAAGATTGCAACGTAACATTTTGATCAGGACTTCAAGCAGAAAGTAGGAGCACAGTAAAATATTTAAATTATAATTTGAATGATAAATGACCTTTAAATTAAAAGAAGTATGAAAGTCTCACATTATTTAAGAATTTATTATGTATTGCTTATTGGTTGGGATAATGTTATTTTAATTATAGCAAGTCATACGCTACAGTTAAGATTCCCAATTAATTAAAATCTCTTGAGAACATTAGTGAGATGAATCCATGTTTTAATATTAAGTACCTGGAAACGTTTTAGCATTCTATTTCGGTCAGCTGCATCAAAGTGTTGTATTTCCTTCATCCACTCACAAAACCAAAGTATAAGTATGGCTTGAGTTGCTAAAAACAAGGACGAGTTATTGGGTTATAGTTTAGCTAATCATATTCGTACATATACTTGCTTATCATACTATAACTTCACTTACGTCTATCTAATTCATCTTCTTGTGCTCTTCTTAGCAAATTAGCTAAGGTATCCAGAAACCAGAATTCTGCCAAACTGCTCTTATATTTAGTACAACCTACAATTTCTGCTAGAATATCTATATACTTCTGTTGCGCAGTATAAGCTATCTTAGGTATGGCTGCTGGATCGATATCAGTTTTGAATTCCTCAGGAAGTACATGGATCTTGTTTTGTTCTTCTATTTTTCTAATTTTGTCAGGTAAGATACGTCTTAAGGAAGGCGATGGGAAGACCTTTGAAAGTAAATCATCAATGTACTTGTACTATTTATTGCGTGATGCTTAATATGCAATACTAAATTTGGTAGAACAGGTGCTGTTAATTTCTAACTAAGAAATAAAGACTTTTTAAATTTAAATCAAGTTTAATTTTTTAACATCAGGCATATAAGTTGGTAACTTGCTCATTGATAAATCTTTAATGAACAGCACCATAATACCTGTTCACAGGTATCTTGTATTTTGGCACTTCTAAGTACTAAGATATTATTGTCTTATATGCTAGATAATAAATAATATACATATATATTTTAACTTGTGGAATTACTCATGAGAAGTTTTGAACCATTCTTTTACAAAATATCTTTACTTTTTATCGTAAAATTTCAGACATAGAATTAATCTGCTAGGTGCATGGAAAAAGCATTAGATGGTAGTAACGATTCCCCAGAAATTGGTAATGAATCATATCTACTCATTCTATTTTCCATATTTAATCGCATCTATTGTAGTATTTGTCCGTTTTTTCTAAAAATAAAATTCTTATTTCTAACTGACCTCTGTTTCTTCTTCGAATAGTTCTTCTACAATTTGCTGTTTCTCTTCTTCTGGAATTTCTTCAGGAATAACTTCCTCGTGTTCTTCACATGGACCTAAATTAATATTAATTTTATTATTATCTAATTATATATGATCTGACACAAAGATGTGTATTTTTTGACATTATAAAAATTTAAATTACTTCGTTAAGTTTGAGGAACTTTTAAAGACGCTTGAGATTCACGTTTCTTTGCGTAAACGAGGTCTCCGGATTTGATTCCCCGTCAGACATATTTAGGAAATGAATTTATCTGTATTGGCTTCACTTTAGGTATTCTCGGTTATGCTCTCAAATGTATATTTCCTAGTTTCTCAGAACACTAGGTGTGATTGCGTGGCATCAGAGGAGACTGTATAAAAATCGTCTGCTTGGATACCTCTTTTCCATTTGTGTTTTTGACGTAGAGTGTTTGCATAGTTGTGTTTTAATTTGAAGGGCGGGATATATGAAATTGCAGGGTATGGACGCATGACAGTCTTCAGGAATGGCACACAGAATACTCTGTTATATCCATGGTACTGTACATGTCTATAGGCCTTAATTACCACTTTTTATCAAGTGGGTCGTCAGTTTGTTTGACTTTCTAAGTTAAAGAAAAAAAAACTTATTATATAATATATATATTAGGCAGGATATGTGTATCAATATACATATGTTTTAAATTTCCAATTGGGGCAATCCTTAGTAGAAGTGGACGAACACATACCTTGTTCTTCAATTTCTCCTAATGAGGAAAATGATTCCGGTGATTCTGGAGCCGATCTGATGCATTCTAGTCCGGAGTCTGACAGTAACTTATTTAGTAGGGTCACGTGAATGTCTTCTATATTCCGTGACGCCATTATATCTATTTATAGGATTAGTAATTATTTATAAATCTATTTATTTTATGGTTTCACCTAATTCTGTGGCAACATTAAATTAATTCTAAATTTGATATTGATTAGTATTGAAATTTCTTAATCTATGATTCAAATACATTTGTCTATTTGAATATGTCTAATTGTAAAGTTTTAATTTGATATAAGACAGTCTATATACAAGAGCAATTTATATTTTTTTTTTGTATTATAATAATAGGTTTTTAGACAAAGGAATGTTATTATACAGTTACATTTTGCTGATGGGAAGGTTAATATTAAATAAATTAAGGTTCAAACCTAGGCAAAATTATTGTAGTTTTTGATACACTATAGCAGTGTAATAATGCAGCAAAGTATAGTAAACATTATACCAGTATTTATAATATTGTAAATAGAAAAGATTTGTTTATTTTTTTTTTGTTTATTTTTTCACAATGATCATATCAGCCGTTAACTGTCCACTTTTTTTTTGCAAGTAGATATCACTTTTAGAAGGCGGATTGATAGCCGCAGTTAGGCTTTAGTGTTGTTTTAAGAGAGACCTTGCTGCCTATCCCTCGACCATTAACACACGATACTAACGGAAAAGAAGGGGGTGGGCCATTCTATGACGGGTCCACAAGGTAATTTTTATATATATATTTGTAATGGACAAATTAAAAAATACTTTATTAATTTTAGAATTTTTTTCCCATATACTATGCTATATACAGTATATGCTACATACAGTAACATGGTATGGGCTGTATTTTATTAAGAACAATACCGTACGAAACGGGGCGAGCCGCAAGTAATAGGTATAATATGAAATGTCTAGTTTTTGTTTTTAATACGAATCGAAAGTCTTCTCTTCCGACAACTCCGTCCTACTATTAGTATAGTATAATTCAGATCAAACAGTAGAGCGAGTGTGGTGGAATTCATTAAGTTAACGGTACAATAAACGTGCCCTAATTGGAGCACCGAATTGTGGGGGTCGACGATACCCAAATGAAGGGTTACGTAGCCGAAATTACAGGTCTATATTACAAGAGTGAACGGCAGGGTGCCCGCTGCACGCTTATTAAAACTAATAAACACGTTAATTAAAACTATTTGAAACATGTAAGTCTAATAAAAGATTTGGTGCACACCCAAATTTGCTGGTATTGAAGTGCGAGTGAAAGCGAGCGTGGAATTTTATGAATACATATTTTTTAAATATATATTATAGAACTCCTAAATCCATAATGTGATTATAAATTTCATTCAAATCCGCTCAGAAAAATATATAAAAGTTTTTACATTTCGATATGACATTAGTAGCGGGTATTATAATGGAATTAATTCTAAATAATATTGAGTTCTGATATTTATTATACGCACAAAGATTCTTACTTCATTCAACATAGATAAAATATAATATATATTATGTATAAATTATAAATTGATAAAATTTAAAATGTGATTCAAAACATTGTGCTTTTCAATATCTTTAGATACATATTACAGAACATAAATAATATAATTTTGTAATAATTATAATCGCTTTCGCTTATTACTTGGTCCGTTGATCACTATTCGGGTGGCGTGCTTATATGGCTTCCACTTAACACGTCCTAATTACACAGGGGACAGCGATATTTATACCGGTTGTTTTGGTGTACCACCGGCACTATATCGTTTTAGGATTCTAATCTTTAAAGATAAAGTAATACTACATTCATTACTATCTATTTATATTTAATATTTATTTATTAAACTAGCGACCCGCCTCAGCGTCGCACAGATTGATAGAGAAGTGTGAATAAAATTTATAAAGAAATGTAAATTAGTATTTTATATTATGTTAATAGGCAAATTTTTATTCTTCGCGTTACATTATTGTAATTTTTGTAGGGATTTCTATTATCTGAAAATAATATACAGTCTATGTTACTCGCTGATAATGTAGCTTTCTAAATAATCTTTAGTATCGGTTGAGTAAGTATATTATTTTAGGAAATCCAAGTTAAAGAGAAAGACGTCATATTGCGTAAAGACGTAGTTAGAGACTTTTAGATATAGGGTAAAACGTAAAATAAAAATCAGTACCTACGCTGTTGGATCATAAATTAAAAAACAATACCTACCTCTTTTTATGCTGCGAGTAGAAACTTGATATGATAGATACTAATATAATTTTTTAAAGTTTCCTTTTTTCTTAATACAACTTAGAATGGCAAACAAGCTGACGGCCCACCTGATGGAAAGTGGTAACCGTCGCCTATAGACATGAGCAGTACCATGGATATAACAGAGTATACTATTTCACCCATAATATCCCCCATGCGTTGCCATTCCTGAGGACTCAGATGTTATTTCTCTGTACCCAGTAAATTCACGCCATATCCCACCCTTCAAATCGAAACACAGTCATGCAAACACAACTGCTTCACGGTAGAAACACGAATGGGACAGAGGTACCCAAGCAATCGACTTTTGTACAAAGTCTCCCTCCCTTTCTATGTCAATATTAATAATTTAGACAAATAACTTTGTATGTTGTATAGAATTATTTATCTAAGATGCGTAAAACAATATTATTTGCGTAGACCTACAATTATTCAAAAAAGTGCACAGAAAAATTTATAGTAAACCGTCAATATATACACCATGATATATGGTTTTCTAGTCGTAATTGGATTTTAATGTCGTAAGCAAACGTTAGACTTTGTTGGGGACAGCTGTTGCCAAAGGCACGACGATGGGTCGTTAGTGGAAAAAACTAATTATACTTCTGTTGAAGATGCCTGGGGATACGAAATATACACAGGGATGATATTGTAGAGATGTTTATGTTTAAGTTTGCATGTTATAGAAAAGTAACAGTCTTAGTCATCAAGCCCAAGGGTAATAGCTAAAATGGCAGTCTTTAACTACAATTTGCTATTGCCAGCATAATACTGGACAATTATGGAATTTGTTCCAAAATTGTCAAAAGTTAATTAATAGTTCTGTATTTATATATCATTTAGTCAAAGTCAATATTATTCATTTTATTATAATGTCATAATGTTAATTAAACTTAGAAGTTAATGATTTAAAGATGATATTTCATAATACATTCAATTCTGAATCGCCATTTCCCTAAACTTATTTCCAGAAAATTAAATTTCAATTTAACGTTAAATATATTAATGTAAAATTTCGAATAAATTTAATGACTTAAATCTTAAATTACAATGAATTTAGTATATAATAGTTCATAAAATAGTAATTTCGCAAACCATGAAATTTAAATATTAGGATAAGAGGTTAAGATAAATGGCTTCTTAGAATCGACCCCATTGTTATAACCTTATAATGTCTGCTCTATGAATTCATTCAATTGCCTGTCTATATTGTATCTAACATAGATTGTCACGGATCATTACGAGTTCATTGTTTCTTTAAAATGTATAAACAACTGTGTACGTTTATAATTGATGACCTCCGCAGCCATAGATTACGAGAGGTTTTTTTTTTTATGTAACATAGAAAAACAAATTGATGGCTCACCTGATGGAAGAGGTAACCGTCGCCTGTAGACATAAACAGACCATAAACACCACAGACTACCTACTTTACTTGTCCTGCGTTGCCATTTAAAAAGATAAAGATGTAAGTTTGTAATTTCGCTACCGTATTCCACCTTTCAAACTGAAACACAACTAAGCACACAGCAAGCACCCAGGCTTAGCTACAGAAATACAATTAGAGTATGAGGCACCCAAGTAAAAAACTTTTGTACAGAATCTCTCACTGGTAGGTAACAACAGTCCAGTGACGTATTTTTTAAGGGATGATAATGTAACGGTATACGCTGGCGGGGCACCAGTAAGGGATGATAGGTGAGAATGAAAAAGCAGGTCAGTTAATCCATTGTGATAAATACACCTGAAATCAGCACGATAGTTTCCGGGGGGGACCTGGTGGAAATTAATTTACCAGGTTTTTTTTTGATGGATGAAAATGGTATGGTGACCCCGCCTGCGCTAACGGGATACGCTGGCGGAGCACCAGTGAAGGGTGATAGATGAGAATGAAAACAGGCCAGTTAGCCCATCATGATGAATTCAACAGGAATTAACCATGCTAGTTTCCAAGGGGAACCGCGAGGAGGTCGACCTGGTTGGGTATATTGCTAGCAATTGGATTCTCAGTCTCTATTACTAACAATTCCTTTCCCTCCCAACTTGCCAGGGTATATTGCTAGCAATGGGATTGGTAATCCGCATTTTTAACAATCTCTTCTCCCCAGTGACGTATTAGGAGACTTATTATTTGTTTAATTACAGTTTATCGTATTACATACAAAATATATTTCGAGTATCACGGTGTGGTAATATAGAAGGAGAGATACCAGAGGGAGACTTTATACAAAAGTCGATTGCTTGGGTACCTCTGTCCCATTCATCCCATAAAAAAATAAGTTAATATTTAAAAAAAGGTGTTTTATAAACTTAGCTGTATACGCTGCCGCATGACTAGATACAAGTGATCTTCACACCATCACCAGCAACACAGGGTATCCTAGTTTGAGGCCCAGGCGATTGGTGTGAAGTGATGGTACAATACAAAAAAATAGGTATGTATATACATACTTTCTTAATGGGTGACAATGAAATGGTAACTCCGCCCGCGCTATCGCTATACACCGGCGGGGCACCAGTGGAAGATGGTAGGTGAAAATAATGCAGGTCAGTTGGCCTACCATGATGAATTCGACAAGAATTAACCATGATGGTTTCCAGAAGGAATTGCGTGGAGGTCGACGTTATAGGGTACATTGCTAGCAATAGGGCTATTAAACCTCATTACTAACAATCCTTTTTCCTCCAATATACATACCTTGTACTGTAGTGATATAACTTTTTTAGGTAAAATAATTTTACGAGATCCCAGTAATTAATATAGATACTAGTCTTAAGGAATGGATTTTGTTAATTAATGAATTATATATTATACTATTGTATATTAAATATAATGCATTTCCTTATACTTTAGAGGGTAGGCAGAGACTACGAAACAAAACGACATTGCCTTTTAAAGATATATAAATAAATTTCCCTCATGAACATTTTGATTTC